AAGCTCTCCCCCCACACTGGGGATCGGACTTCCAGGTTTCGCTTGGCGTCTGTCTGCATGGGGCCTAGCTTTGCGCATCCTGGAGCGCCCTCGTCGCCGCGGCCAGAGCCCCCCCGACGCTCTGCCCGGAGCGCGCCCCAGGATTGGTCCAGCCGTCGAGGAGGAGGAGGAGGAGGAGGAGGAGGAGGAGGAGGAGGAGGAGGAGGAGGAGGAGAGGAGCGGAGGCGAGGCGGAGGCGGAGGCGGAGGCGGAGGCCGGAGGCGGAGGAGGCGGGAGGAGGCGGAGGAGGCGAGGGCGCGAGGAGGCGGAGGAGGCGAGGAGGCGGGGAGGCCGGGAGGAGGCGGAGGAGGAGGAGGAGGAGGAGGAGGAGGAGGAGGAGGAGGGAGGAGAGGGAGGTAGGAGGAGGAGAGGAGAGGAGGAGGAGGAGGAGGAGGACCCTGGGGCCCCGAGCCAGCGCGCTCGCGAGCTGAAGGCAGGTGGGGTCCCGAGGGGCACCGAGCTCCCGGGGTCTGCTCGTCCACTTCCGGGGCTCCCGGGGCCCTTCTCCGCGGGCCCCGCGGCCGCTGCCCGACGACTCGGGGAGTGGAGCTGCCCTGGGGGCAGGGGGCAGGGGGGGGGGGGGCCCAGGTGCGCGCGCAGGACCCGCTTTCCTCTTTTCTCCCTTCTCGGCGGTTTTCCGGCGTCCCGCGTTCTGGGTTGTGGACCGCGCGCAGAAGAGGGGGGTGGGTGGAGGGGGGGTTTCTTGGAATCACGTTTGCTCCCTCCCTCCACCCCCTTGCCATGTGGAGGGCGATCAATGGAGAGCAAGCATGTTGCCAAACAGTTTTCAGATGTCTAAATCGTGTCTTACGCATGTATTAAACATGTTTAGAATATGTTCTTATCTTTTAAACACAGCGTAAGTTCAATGATAGGACTGTTAGGGTGTCAGTCGTCGTAGCATCCACAACCCTTCTTGCGCACCGCCAAGTTCTGGAGGCTTCCGTCGCCACGGCGGGCCCGCAGCAGGGGTGGTCCAAGGGGGGCGAGTTCGAGCGGACGGGGCCAGGGCGGAGGAGTCGCCGTGTCTCGGCCGGCCCAGCCTGGGCGAAGGGGTCCCGCGGGAAGCAGATCAAGAATTAGGGGCCCACCCCGGGGGGATGGGGGAGAGGGCCCCGGGGGAAATGGGATGGAGAGGGGGGGGGGGAATTGGGGAGGGGGAGGACAAGCTAGGTGCGCTCGCGTCATATCTGACGTCCTACCCCTCCCTCCCATCCCTTACCATGGCTCTGATTTTCTCTATCCGCGGACGCGTGTCGTAGCGGACCTGTGGCTCCGCGCGCGCGTGCGTAGTGGGTGGTGGTGCATGTGCGTGCGTGCGTGCGTGCGTGTGTGCGTGGTTGTGGTGCTGGTGCTGGTGCTGGTGCTCGTGCTCGTGCTCGTGCTCGTGCTCGTGCTCGTGCTCGTGCTCGTGCTGGTGCTGGTGCTGGTGCTGGTTGTGATGGTGGTGGTGGTGGTGGTGGTGGTGGTGGTGGTGGTGGTGGTGGTGGCGGTGGTGGTGGTGGTGGTGGTGGTGGTGCGGCGCGGTGGTGGCGGGCGGATGGGCGCGCGAGAAAGAAGCCCGCGCTGGGGCGAGAACGCCATCCTGAACGACGGAGGCCAAACACCGATCCGAAAATGAGGCCCACGCTGCAGCGGGAGCACGATTCGGAACGATTCGGGAGCAGAAATGAGGCCGGCGCCTCAGCGAGAGCATCATTTGGAAAAAAACGCAGGCGAAAATTCGTTTCCCGGGAATCCTGTGTGTAAAAAAACAGTACGCGGGGGGCGTTCGGCCCGAAAATGACGCCGGCGCCTCAGCGAGAGTCGTTTCCCGGGATTTCCCGGGAATCCTGTGTGTAAAAAACAGTACCCGGAGGGTGCGCGGCCATCACCCGGACGCCATCAGGGGAAGAGGGAGAGTATTTTCATATTGAGTAATTGTTGGTGAGCAGGGGACAGGAGGAAAAGGGGAGGAGGAGGATGGGGAGGAGGAGGAAGAGGAAGCGGAGGAGGAGGGAGCAGGAGGAGGAGGCGGTGGACGAGGAAAAAAAAGAGGATGAGGATCTGGATGAGGATGAGGATGATAATGATGATGATGATGATGATGATGATGATGATGATGATGATGATGATGATGATGATGATGATGATGATGATGATGATGATGATGCCGATGATGATGATGATGAGGAGGCGGAGGAGGACGATGATGAGGATGATGCTGATGATGATGCTGATACGGCTGATGATGATGAGGATGAGGATGAGGATGATGATGATGAGGAGGATGAGAATGAGGATGAGGATGGTGGAGGTGATGATGATGATGGTGGTAGTGGTGGTGGTGATGATGATGAGGAGGAGGAGGAGGAGGAAGAGAAATAGAATGTGGGATGGGGAGGAGGAGGAAAAGGCAATGAGGAGGAGGAACAGGACGAGGCGGAGGACGAGGAGGACCAGCGTAAATCCAAGACTCATCAACGATGTTGGAATATACCCTCCGTCCAAGCTCCCTCCTGATAGGCTCCTGCAAAATTCCATATCCAGTAAGGGCAGTGCCCCGTTGCGAGGCAACTGTCTGAAGATCTTGAAGTTTGCCTAAGCACTTTTCTCATGGTCTCAACGCCACGAGTCAACCTGACTGTTGCGCCTTGACGATCCAGAGTTGTGCCAGAACACCATTCCTGGGACTTCAACACCGAACGTATTTGTTGTTGGGCCATGACAATCCTGAGTTGTTCCAAAACACCCTTCCTGATACGTGAGCCAGGAGAACAAGTGAAACTTTTGCAAATGCGTAAAACGCATGCGCGCGGCGCTAGTGAGAGTGCCGCATTTTGAAAAGGAACCGCCCCGAATGCGTGAAACTCCTTGTGAAAGTTCCCCAATCAGTGCTTGCACTGAAGGGGTCCTAGCTCCCAGCGGATCTTGAACAATTTGGCGAAATTGGGCGGCCGATTTCGGTAGGCCACCGGGTTTCCAGATTCCCTGATCCAGGTTTTTGGCTCCGGGTTCGGGTCGATTTCGGTGGCCGGCGGGGTTCCCGGGTTTCCGGGTTCCCGGGTTCTTGGTCGATTTCTTTATCGATGGGTCTCCTTATCGATCTCATTTCCCACCATTCTATCTGATCTCACTATAGATCGCACGGTCGATCTCACGATCGATATCATCATCGATCTCGTTGAATCGAGTTCATTATCGGTCTCAGGATCGACCTTGCTATTATCCTCACTAATTAACGATCCCACGATCGATCTCACAATATATCTCACAATCGGTCTCAATACCCATATCAGTAATGTGCAAACCATCCACTGATTGGGGTTTCTTTGTTACAATGTTAACGAATGGACGCGGCGCTATAGCGAGAGCCACATGTTGAAAACGAACCGCCCTCAATCCGTGAAGCTCTTACACATGTGTAAAACGAACGTGCACTGCGCTAGTGCGAAAGCCACATTTTGAAAACCACGTGTCCTCAATCCGCAGAACTCTTGCAATTGTTTGAACCGAGTGTGCGCGGCGCTAACTCGAGAGCTACATTTTGAAAACCGCCCGCCCTCCATCCGTGAAGCCGTTGCCAGTCTTTGAGCTTCAGGCTTACAATTGGTAAGGAGGTCTCAGACGAAACGCCTGGCCCGCAACCCGTGCTTGACTGGCCTCGGGGCAAGACAGGGCGGATTCATTCGTAAGGAGAAGGAGTGCAGGAGGAGCAGAAACAAAAATGAGGAGGGAGGAGGAGGAGGAGGAGGACGGAGGAGGAGAAGGAGGAGGAGGAGGAGTTGGATGGAGGGGGAGGAGGAGGAGGAGGCGGAGGAGGAGGAGGGAGGAGGAGGAGGAGGAGGAAAAGGAGGAACATGATGATGATGATGAGGATGATGATTCTGATGATGATGATGCTGCTGCTGCTGATGATGATGACGTCAAAGATGATGCTGATGATGATGGTGGTCCTGATGCTGATGATGATGCTGGTACGGATGATAATGAGGTTGATGATGATGATGATGAGGATGCGGATGATGATGATCCTGATGATGATGATGTTGATGATGATGATGCTGCTGATGATGACGATGGCGATGGCGATGGCGACGATGCTGATGCTGATGCTGCTGGTGATGATGATGCTGATGCTGATGCTAATGACGATGCTGCTGATGATGATGATGTTAATGGTGATGGTGATGGTGATGGTGATGGTGATGATGATGATGATGATGATGATGATGATGATGATGATGATGATGATGATGATGAGTATGATAATGATGATGACGATGATGATGAAGATGGTGATGGTGATGATGATGATGGTGGTGGTGATGATGATGGTGGCGGTGGTGGCGGTGATGATGATGGTGATGCTGCTGCTGATGATGATGATGAGGATGATGATGATGATGATGATGATGATGCTGATGATGATGCTGATGCTGATGACGATGATCATGATGATGATCATGATGATGATCATCATCATGATCATGATGATGATGATAACGATGATGGTGATGGTGATGGTAATGGTGATTGTGGTGGTGATGGTGATGGTGATGGTGATGGTGATGGTGATGGTGATGGTGATGGTGATGGTGATGGTGATGGTGACGGTGATGGTGATGGTGATGGTGATGGTGATGGTGATGGTGATGGTGGTGGTGGTGGTGGTGGTGGTGGAGTGGTGGTCATGACGATGAGGAGGAGGAGGAGGAGGAGGAGGACAAGGAGGACGAGGAGACGCGGGAGGGAGCAGGAGGAGGAGGGAGCAGGAGGAGGAGGGAACAGGAGGAGGAGAAGGAGGAGGAAGATGACGAGGAAATGGAGGGAGGAGGAGGAGGGCGAGGAGGAGGAGGAGGAGGAGGAGGAGGCGGTGGATGAGGAGGCGGAGGAGGTGGAGGAGGAGATCCGCGATCCGTGCTCGACCGCACGCCATGTCGGCCGCCCGGCCCTGCCTCCCTGCCGCACCACGGCGCCAGGACGGCGCCGCGGCGGAGGAGGTCCGGGAGCAGGCCCGCGCCCGCGGGCCTGGCTCCGCCGCCGAGGAGGAGTCCGCAGGAGGAAGAGAAGGAGGAGGAGCAGCAGGAGGAGGGGGAGGAGGAGGAGGAGGAGCAGCAGGAGGAGGAGGAGGAGGAGGAGGGGGAGGAGGACAAGCTAGGTGCGCTCGCGTCATATCTGACATCCTACCCCTCCCTCCCATCCCTTACCATGGCGCAGATCCCCTCTCTACTCGCACAGTCGGATGTCGAGCAGGGCAATGATCCCGAAAGGGTACGCGATGCATTGTAGAGCACGGCATGGCATGGCGTAGAAGAGCACCGCGAAGCGTAGTATCAACCTAGCATTGCATTGCATGCCGTGGCATGGCACGGGAAATGGCGCCAGCGCTGCAGCGGGAGCACGAGTCGAAACGAGCGGAAGCGCGGAAATGAGGCCAGCGCTGCAGCGGGAGCACGATGCGGAACGAGCGGAAGCACGCCAGAATCGGCCCGGGAGCCGGGCGCCAGGAGCAGAAATTCAGCATCCTCAAAAGAAAAATGTGTATTGGAATAGCCTTTTTTCGGCGCCGCCTCGGAAAACGATTTTCCGGCGCCGGCCGGAACCGGCTCCGGACCCGGCCCGGGCGCCAGCCCGGGCGCCGGCTCGGGCGTGGCCCGGGCGCCGGCTCGGGCGCCAGCCCGCGCGTCGGAATCGGCCCGGGAGCCCCGGGCGCCGGAAGCAGAAATTCAGCATTTTCATAAGAAAAATGTGTATTAGAATGGCCTTTTTTCGGCGCCGCCTCGGAATTCGATTTTCTGGCGCCGGCCGGAACCAGCTCCGGACTCGGCCCGGGCGCCGGCCCGGGCGCCGGCTCGGGCGTCCGGCCCGGGTGCCAATTCGGGCGCCGGCCCGGGCGTCGGAATCGGCCCAGCCGGAAGCAGAAATTGAGCATCTTCAAAAGAAAAATGTGTATTAGAATGGTTTTTTTGGGCGCAGTCTCGGAACTCGATTTTCCGGCGCCGGCCGGAACCGGCTCCGGACTCGGCCCGGGCGCCGGCCCGGGCGCCGGGTCGGGCGCCCGGCCCGGGCGCCGGCTCGGGCGCCGGCCCGGGCGTCGGAATCGGCCCAGGAGGCTTGGCGCCAGACTGGATGGGGGTGGGGCGTTTTCGGCTCTTTGCCGTGACCGCTGGCCCTCAATTCCTCTTCCTTCCCCTCCTCCCGCCCCTCCCTCTTCCTATACATATGCCATATGCATGCTCCTCCTGATCCTCCTCGTTCCTCTCCTGGCCCTGTCCGAAGATCAAAACAATAGCGAAGGGGCACCCGCCCCGTGGCAGAGTGAACGCTCGGTGGGAAGTACTCAGCACGGCGGCATCGCACGGGTTCTCTGTATAGTGACTGAGCATGATCTCGCGCCCTGCATGCTCCCCGAACCCCGCGCGCCACGCGGCCCCCGATGTCGGGCCCCTCACCAGCCCTGGCCTACTTCGAGCACAAAGCAGCGAAGAGGTCGGCCCCATGGCGCCTGGCGCGCCACGCCCACGCGTGGACGTACTCGGCGATGCGGTCGTGGTCGGCGCTCTTGATCGCGGACGGGAGCGCCGTCTTGACCTCGTCCCAGCTGCCGTCCGCCGCCTCCGTGCCGTGCTTAATCTTGACCATGCGGACGTTGCCGTCGTTGTCCTGCACGCGCACGGCCTTCACGACCGCCCACTCCTCCTTCTTGTGGCTCACCACGCCGTGCGGCAAGGCCAGCCTGCGGTAGTGGCCGCGGAAGCGCTCCCGCCCGTGCCGTGGCCGCGACCCCAGGCATTGCTTGGCGGACCCTGCTGCCCCCGCGCGCTCGAGGAAATCCTTGCGGTCGCAGCGGGACGAACATATCAAGTCGCCAGCGGCGAAGGCCTCGTAGGAGTCGGCGCCGTCGGTCAGGCAGATCGCACCGCGGCCGCGGTGCTTCCTGACGGCCTCGTCGCACTGGGCCCCGCGCAAGGGCGCGCCGCCGCCGCCAGCCATGCTCCTCTCCCAGGGGAGCTGGATGAGAACCATGTTGGCCCTGTTGCTGCGCTCGACAATGATGAGCCAACGGTTCCACAGCAAGCGGTGGCCAAGGCATTCAGGCTTGCACTTGTCGCACGGCTTCTTGCAGCTGACACGCTCGGCCCTGACGCCGCACTCGTCGAGCTCCACGAGCATGCCGCCCTTGAACTTGATGCGGGCCTGCTCCTCCAGGCTGAGCTGGGCCATGCGGCGGCGGACCTCGTCCAGGTACATTGCCATGGAATCCTTCGACATGCCTTGCACCGCGGCGCAATCTCCGCGGTTCGGGTGGCACGCAGCCCACGGCGCGCGCGCCAAATGAACAGCGAGTAGCCCTTCTCCCGCGGGTGCTCTCCCGTTGCCGCCGAGAGAGATGGGGGCGCCCTCCTCGCTCTCGACCGCGATGCCCCTCTTGTTCCCGCTGCGCGTCCAATCGCCGCAGCGGTACCTGCACAGCGTCGGGGCATTCACCTGGAGAGATAACATAATGCAAAGCCCAACTCGCATAGATAACTGCCCCTCCCCACATGCCCTGCCCGATAGCTTTGAAAGGGACAGGGCGTGTGGGGAGGGGCGGTTGTCTATGCTAGTTGGGCATGGCATTGCGATATCTCGCGGGCGCCTGCGCGTCGCCCACGTTCACGGACATTCAACGAGAGCCCCTCTCGGCGAACACGTGGAGAGACAACTTAGCGCCGCATTCGTGCGGGCGCTTATTGCCCTCCATCCGCGGCGCGTACCCCAGCTCCACGCCAATCCGAACCCTGTGCGCCGCGTCAACGCCGCAGAACCCTCTGAAGTCGATGCGCCCCCCCTTGGCCTTGCAGGCGAGAGGAAGGCGCGTGCGATGAAACAGCTTGAGCCGATCGAGCACTACGGAATTTCGCGGAGGGAATGTGGGCAGGGGTGGCATAACATGCTCTCCCATCAAAACAACATGTCGGCGTCGGCTCCTTGTTGGATGGCAAGGGGCATCCCGTTTAAGGATGCCCTTGTATTTGATGAGCGCTACTATCTTATGTCTGATTTGAGCATAGTAGGCGGAGCTGTTCCACATGTGGCCGATAGACATGAGGGGGCCACGAGGGGGGGCCATGAGGGAGCCGCGAGGGAGCCACGAGGGAGCCATGAGGGATCCACGAGGGAGCCATGATGGAGCCATGAAGGAGCCATGAGGGAGCCATGAAGGACCCGTGGGGGAGCAATGAGGGACCCATGAGGAAGCCATGAGGAAGCCATGAGGGATCCATGAGAGAGCCGCGAGGGAGCCCCGATGGGGGCCACGAGGGAGCCACGAGGGAGCCATGGGGAAGCCATGAGGGATCCATGAGGGAGCCCTCACGGCTCCTTCATGTCTCCCTCATGTGAAGCTCGTTGCTGGAATCAAGAGATGGTCGGTGGCGGGGTGGAGCCCTCCCAAAACTGGATTACCCCCTGCCCTCAAGTCCTCGCCAGCAGCCAAACGCTGAGCCTGCGTGCGCCCCACCCTGCGCCACGCCGCGTCGGGCGGCAAGACGTGGCCAACGTGGCCAGGCGCGCCGCGCTGCGCGAAAGCGCATTCGACAGCCATGGGTAGAAGCCTACCGCGGAGAACTTTGAGGGGGTCTGAGCACCCTGCAAAGGCCTGGGCGCTAGCGGCAACGGGAGGCACCAACGGCAGCGCCATCGTATGCGGTATGCTTGCTGTCCATGCACATTTCTGGTTGCGCAATAAATCAAGTGCAACTGAGATGTGGGTTTCCTGGGGGCGGAGGTGGTAACTCATTTTTTGAGTCCCCTTATTTTCCTCCCTTGGACCCGCACATCAAAAGCGTTACCCCTCTGCCTCTCTCCTGCCCCTCCCCCCCCTCTCTCGCCCTCCGCGCCGCCCTTCTGGGTCCCTTTGCTGGGTTCCTTGCTGCGTCTCCTGGCTGGGTCTCCTCCTGGGCCCCCTGCTGGGCCCCTTTGCTGGCCCCCCCTGCTGGGCCCCCTCATGAGCCTCCGCGGGGGCATCCAAAACTGGGCGCCCCTTGCACCGCAGAAGGCGCGGTTTATTCTCACTGATTTTAGGTCGCCCAGCAGCGCTGAGCTTCCTCAAGGAGAGCGTCGTCGCGCCTGGAGCCCTTCCAGGGGACGCCCAGCGGAACTGCGCTCCCTCAAGGAGAGCGTCGTCGCGCTTCGGGCCCCCCCCACAGGAGCAGCAGGAAGAGGAAGAGGAGGAGGGGCAGCAGCAGCAGGAGGAGGGCACCTTTCCCGCGGATGGGGGCGGCTGGGGGCGGCTGGAGGAGCACGTGTGCAGCGTCGCTTCCTCTTCCTCATCAGAATCCCTTTTCGGAGCAGAACCGCAGGAAACAATTTTGACAACCAAAGAAGCAAAAAAAAAAAAAAATCCTGGCGAAGGGCCCAACCATATGCAATTGTGAGTGCCGCAATTGTGAATATCTTCTTCGGCGGCGCTCCCTATGGGGCCACGAACCGTGTGAAGGTGTGCCGAATTGTGTGGCGTAGCCTCTGCAGGGGGCTTCCCTGGGGACCCCGAGGCAGCGCCCGCGCGCCGCGACGCCCATGTCGGCGCGCCCCACGCGAGGATCGCGCCCGCTTCCTCCATTTCCTTTTTCCTTTTCCTTTGCCCGCGCGCCCCAAAGTCCAAGACTGCGGGCGCAGCGCAAGGCGGAGCCTTCGCGACGCGCGCAGGTCGCCCCGAAGGGGTCACAGTGACGCGCGCGGTTCGCGCGCTGCGCGGAACACAGCTTGCTCGTTGGCTAACTGATAGCGCGCGCGGCTCTGGCCGCCGGGCGGGGCGACGACGAGCGAGCGAGGCGCTGGGCAGAGCGCGGCGCGGAGTTCGCGCGACGCGCGCTGATCGCCCCGAGAGGGCCCCAGCGACGCGCGCAGGGCGTCCACGGCGCGAGGCCAAACAGTTGGACAACCGAGAGAAGGCGCGGCTGCGGCGGGCCGCTCCTCAGGTCAGGCCTAGCGGATAAACTCGGGGGCACGCAACGTGCGAGGGGTGTGC